TCCTCATGAGTCAGGCTGCTGGGGACCTGTGTTCTCCATCAGAACATTGTAAGGACTGATTCCATCCAGTGCCCTTGGCCTGTGGAGCACACCATGCGACACTCATCTGAGTCCCTTCCTCAGCTGCTCGGGCCCGTGGGGCTTCGGTGCCGCTTGGTCCTTGCCTCTGTTGCAGAAGCTCTGATTGCTTCTCCCACTTCCCTCTTCCCCATCCTGCCTGTCTCAAGAGCGTCCTGGGCTGTCTGGGTTTCTCTGGGTCTCCATTGTCTTCCAGGTGCTAAAACACTTGCTCAGTACCCAAGGGTGTAATGTGGGCTCTTTTTTTTTTTAAATTAAGATTTATTTATTTATTGGAAAGTCAGATATACAAAGAGGAGGAGAGACAGAGAGGAAGATCTTCCGTCTGATGATTCATCCCCCAAGTGAGCGCAATGGCCGATGTTATGCCAATCTGAAGCCAGGATCCAGAACTTCTTCTGGGTCTCCCACACATGGGTGCAGGGTCCCAAACCTTGGGCTGTCCTTGACTGCTCTCCTAGGCCACAGGCAGGGAGCTGGATGGGAAGTGGAGCTGCCAGGATTAGAACCAGTGCCCATATGGGATCCCGGTGCGTTCAAGGCGAGGACTTTAGCCGCTAGGCCATGCTGCCGGGCTCAGAATGGGCTCTTAATGACCTATTTTCTTCCACCCACTTCCTGATAGGTGAAATTGTCCTCCTGACTGCTCAGGCTTCTAGGAAGGCTGCGGAAAGAGCCAGGTGAGACCATTTTAGGGCTAGCGTGTTAATTCTCCCTCCTCATGGAGGCAGGAGGCAGCCTAACCTGCCGCAGCCCTCCTGCTATGGTGTTCTCTGAGGCCTGCCTACAGATGTGCCCCATGGTAGAGGACATGGCCTCTTCATGAAGTGAGGCCAGCTTGTCAGCACAGTCTTGCTTCTCATCTTGCTCACCTCAGGTCACTCTCCTTCCCACTGGCTGCCCTGGGATGGTACCTGACAGGGAAGCACTGTTTTGGCACTTAAAACTTTGCCTCTGATTTCCAGGGAACCTGGGCTCTGTTGGCTCCCATCTGCAAACAGGACAGAATGCTCACTCCATACCATCTAGCATCATTCCCTTATTTGAGAGTCAGAACTGAGCAAAGGGAAGTTATTGGTTTTCCCAAGCATACAGCTTGTTAGCAAAGAGACCAGGCCTATTCATGACAGTAATAAGCAGTAAGCAAGCCTCTACTGGGTGTTATTCTAGGAACCATGTGATGAATAAAATGGACAAAAATCCATGAAACGGGAACACAGCATTCTGGTGGAGGATTAAGAAGAGGACCACAAATGCTATGGTCATTCGGGATGTCAGAGTCTGCTTGGTAGTGGGGGACGATGGGTGTTACAGGCTGACCTGAATCTTCCCCAGAATCACCGTTGAAGCTCTCTTTGTGACCCAAATGGGCCTATATTTGGAGAGAAAGGCTTTAAAGAGGAAATTAAGCTAAGAGAGGCCTTACTCCAATTTTACTGGTGTCTTTATAACAAAAACTTTTGTACCACGGCTAAGATGCTGCTCGGGATGCCCACATCCTGTGCACATCCTATGCAAGTCCTGGCTTTGCTTCTGTTCCAGCCTCTCGCCAAAGCACACCTGGGAGGCAACTGGTTGATGGATCAAATGATAGCGTTCTTGCTACCCATTTGGGTGGCACCTGAATTGACTTTCTAGTGTTCGGGTTTGGTCTGGTCCAGCCTTGGCTCTTGCAGGCACTGGGGAGTGTGAACTAATAGATGGGAAATCTTTGTGTGTTTTTCTCTCTCGCATCAGGCATATTCCAACAGCTGAGGTCCTCTGGGAACCTGGTTGAGTTCACCCAAGAACCAAATGTGGAGAACTGGGTGCAGGGGAAGCTGCTGGCTTGGAAGGCCCCTTTAGGGCTGCAAATGAAGGGCTGTGGGGTCGGCAGAAAGCGCAGATGAGCACTGCCAGGTAATATCTCTATTCATCAAAGCCAAGAACTTGGGAATCATCCTGAAGGCACCTGTCCGCTGACCTCCAGCCCTCCAGCACTAATTCATTCCTGGATATCACCATCCCATTTCTCCTCAACCTGCTCATCTCTATCATAATGACTCTAGCCCACACTACTGTCATGTCCCACCTGCTCCACGATGTCATGTAGCCATCCTATAATCTTATTACATGGGATAGAGGCTTAACATAAGGAAGGTTTGTTTCTCACTGACGCATAACTAGGTGGGGTTGCCCTTGTCCATCAGTGTCGCATCAGAATTCTCTGCATGTTTCATAGATGTTATCATACTTTGCAGTTGCATATATGATTGTAAGATTGATAATTCCATTTTCAAGTACATGACAAATTAATTTCCAAGGTTACTGCACCTGTTGATACTTCCACTAGTATATTCTTGACATCTACACAATACTTTGTGTGGTCAGCTCTTCGTCCATCTGGTGGATATGTAAATTTACCTTCTCCTTTTCATTAATCAGAATTAAGCTTAATTATAATTAAGGCTTTATAATCACTAATGAAGAATTGAGCTTGAGCCATTTTCAAAAATATATTGGTGAGTCTTCTATAAAGAAGACTGAACTTTTTTTTCTTGCTGAATTTTTTGAGAGCTCTGGCTTCTAGTCAGTCCTCCTTTGATGATTAAGTTGCTGTAAGCATTTTTTTTTTTCCTCAGGTCATGAGTGGTCTTGTCATGGTCTATGATGAATCCAAGTTCTTCATTTAAAAATATCTAGATTTGGGTCCAGCAAGATAGTTCAATGGCCAAATCCTCACCTTGCAAGTGCTGGGTTCCCGTAGGGACTCTAGTTCGTGTCCTGGCTGTTCCACTTTTCATCCAGCTTTCTGCTTATTGTTCGGGAAAACAGTAGAGGATGGGCCAAAACCTTGGGACCCTGTACTCGTGTAGGAGACTCAGAAGAAGCTCCTGGATCTTGGCTTCAGATAGACTCAGCTTCAGCCATCTGGGATGCGAACCAGCAGATGGAAGATCTTTCTGTCTCTATCTCCCTAAATTGGATATGCCTTTCTAATAAAAATAAATCTAAAAAAAGCATCAAGATTTATTCATTTTATACTTAATAGTATACACCTCCTTTAAAAAAAAAAGAATTGCTATTCACATGTGGTAGAACCACTTTATTATATTTCCTTCCAGAAGATTGGAAGATTTGCAATTCATGCTTTGGGCTTTTTTCCACTCAAGATTTTTGTATATGACTGGTCTGAGGTACAAAGCAAACTCATGTCTTTTCCCTGTACAGACGCTTGCTTGCCTCCCCTGCCTGCTGTAACAGGACCTTGAGGCCGAGAACAGCTCACCTAGATTCTCTCACCATTCTAGAAGTCAGGAGTCTGAAAGGGGCCCCCGGGGTCTGAGATTAAGGCTTCAGGAGATACTTTGCAAGGTCCTTTTCTGTTTTTATGCCCTCTTTGTCTCATGCTGGCTTGGGGCTCCCCTCCATCTTGGAAGCCAGCCATGCGGGATAAGCCTCTCCTGTATTCCCTGATACAACCCTCCCGTCTCCTTCTGCTGCACAGAAGGAACCTTCTGTTGACATGAGGCCTGCCTGGAGAACCCAGGATCTCTCCTCATCTCAAAACCCTCGGATCTGTCACGTCCAAGTTCCTTTTCCTGATGTACACAGTTATAGGCTCAGGGGATTATGACGTTGCCATCTTTGGGGAAGTATTATTTTGCCTCTCAGAACAATCAATTAACTCAGCCTAGCGGGACACTAGTCTTGTGGCATTATTAATCATACCAGTAAATACTTATGCCAGGAATTGTGTGCCTATCACTTCATTTAATTTTCCCAACAACACTTGGTGCTGAGTGCTCTCATTCCTATCTTAGAGCTGAAGAAAGGAAGGGGCAGAGAGGTTATGGAAAATGGGGTTTGCGCTCAAGTCCACATGCAGCAGCTGTTAAAGGAACACACAGACCGGCCAGCCCTGGCTCTCTTTGCAATCTCGGGCCTCAGTTGCATTGTAAAAGTGCCAAAGTGATGCACCTGTCCTGCAATTCTCTTTGCAAAGTCACCTTGAGACACAGCGCCGCACAAAAGCAGTTCAGATAAGGAAGCAGTCCACGAGGGCTTTTGTACCACATGTCCTGGCAGAGCCAGGCCTGGACTTCAAGGTTCTGGGCAGCCAGGCTCCAGGCAATAATTAACGCAGTCTCGGATTCCGCTGTCAAACTCTGCATTTTCTCAGCGCCAACCTGCTGTTCCCTACAAGCCACCTTCACGGCTCTGTCTGCACTCAGTCCAATATTCACTATAAGGGCTGGTCATCCAGGCTCAAATCGGATCGCATCTACGTTCCTGGGCTGGGCAGGTAAACATGGCAAGTTAAATGCAGTATCAGTCACAAATCAACAGGGACCTCACTAACGCCCACGGCAGGACGGAAGGACAGGAAAGCCACTTCCCCGTGTCCTGGCCTGTTTCCCATCCTCACCCCACACAGCTCTACTCCTTCCACTGGCCCGTCAGAGTGCAAGCGTACGCCACGGGCTATTTTTCACTTTCAATGCCAAAGGCAATACTGGAGAAAGCAAAGTGTGGGGAGATCGACCGTATTGTTAGGACGTTCAGCGCCCTTATCCTCAGGGTTTAAGAGCCAGAGGGGAGGTTTGAAACCTCAGTCAGTATCCAATTCTATATACGCTAGGTTGTTTCCAAAGACTCACACATAAGATTCCGCTTGATTTATAACCTGCTTGGGAGAGCCCAGCCCGCCGCCCGCGTCTCCGAACGCCTTCCTCAGGGCCTCGCTCCGGGGCCGCCGGGCGAGGGCGCCGCGCATGCGCCGAGGGGGCGGGGCGGGGCCGAGCGGGAGCCCGGAGCGACGTTGCGCGGCAGTTGCGTTCGGCCTCGGGCGCCCGGAGGGGGCGGGGCCGAGGCGGGCGTGGCTGCGTCGCCCCGCCCCGGCCCCGCCCCCTCGGCGGGCCGCGCCGCTGCGCCCGCCTCCCCGCTCGGCTCCCGCGGCGGCGGCGGCGGCCAAGAGCGGCTTCGCGAAGTCCTGGCCGGTGGGCGGGCGGCCGCGGGGCTGCGCGCGTCCGGCATCCCGGGGCCGCTCGGGCCCGGGCGGCGAGGGGGGCCCGGCGGTCCATGCATCCGCCGCCGCCCGCCGCCATGGATTTCAGTCAGAACAGCCTGTTCGGCTACATGGATGACCTGCAGGAGCTCACCATCATCGAGAGGCCGGTCCGCCGGAGCCTCAAGGTGCGCCCCGCCGAGAAACGCCCCGTGGGCGCCCGGCCGGCCGGCGCCTCCCGAGTCGGGCGGGTCGAGGAGGGTAGGGTTCTCGCCAGCCCCGGCGCCGGTCACCTTAAGCCGGCTCTCCCGGGGGCCCCTTCCTCGGCGTGGTCCCGGCTCCCCGAGAGGCGGGCTCCTGCCGGTGGGCGACTCGTGGTCGCCCGACCCCCGGCCCACGCCGGGAACGGCCGAGCTGCTGTCCTCGGGGCGACCCCGGCGACCTCCCTCTCCGGGCAGCCGCGGCCCTCGGGGCTTGCTCTCCTCAGCCCGCTCCGGGAGCTGTCCCCTCAGCCCGCCTCTGCCGGGGTATCCCGGGTCTCTCTGGACCCTGGAGTCGGGGTCCCGGGCTCACCCCTCTGTCCACACTGCGCCCCCCACCACTCCGTGAAAGGCCCCAGGTCCCATCCACCCCAAGTCAGGCCAAACTCGGCCCCCCTGGCCCCAGCGCGGCTTTCCTCGTCCTGCCCAGTCAGCCTCCGTTCCCGGGGTGGTTTTTCAAAGCCCTCTGGGCTCCTCGGGCCCATCCTGAGTCACCGCTCGTCCTTTCCTCCCAGCCCCCACCGCTGCCCCAGGACCTGCGCCCTACCCCTTGGGGGGAGTCCGCCTCCAGCTTGCGCCCCTCGCCGACTCTGGCTCCCCGACCCCTCCTCTGCCTGCCGACCCCTACCGGCTCCGATAGCCTGCCCCACTCCCACCTGCCGCAATGCCTGGCTTCTTGGATTTCCTGCCAGCCCCAGAATCTGTCCCCGCCACCCCCGCTGGTCCGGGTCGTTTTCATCCCCATCCGTTTTCAATCTTCATCCGTCCGCCCCCAGCCCCGGGAGCATCCCCTGCAGTGGAAGGCGCGGGAGAAGCCGGCGCGGGGCTTGAGGGATGGAGTGTGTGCGCTGCAGTCTGCGAGCCGCAACCGCACGAACCCGAGAAACCAGCAGAAACGCACCCCCAAACTTGCCCACCCGTTTAGCGACCTCCGCGACGGATGTCGCCCAGAATCCTGGGGCCCTTGATTCCTTTGCAATGATGAATTGTGAAACTTTCTGATTCCTCTGGACTCGCCCTGGGAAGATGGGGGAGGGGCGTGCACAGACTCGATGTTTACATGCACACATATGTATATGCGTGTGTGTGTGTGTATATATATATTTAAATTTTTCACTTGACAGACACCAGAAGAAATAGAAAAGCTGACAGTTGACGAAGACCTCAGTGACATCGAGAGGGCTGTTTACCTGCTCAGGTATTCCCTGCCGCCCTTCCCCTCCGCGGCGCGCACACAGGGCGCAGTGCCTGCTCGGGCTGAGTGTGCTTAGCCCACTTCAGCAGGGGGCGTGAGCACTAGCTCACCTGTGTCGCAAAGTAGACTTAAGTATGGCTTGAAGAGGTTTCACAACTGAGCTCGAAGAAAACGTCTTAATTTATAAATATTTACAGAACACGGCTTCTGTTCACGTTCACCCTTCCCCGTTTCCCAGCGTTGGCTTTTCTCACTTAAGATTCAGGACATTTAAACAAGGTCTGAGTATCCAGGGACTATTTTTTTAAGTCCGTTGTAGAATGCGAGCATTGTAGGCTCCTTTACGGTGTGGAAAAGGCGTCCACGATGTGGTGGTTCAGCCGGCTGCCCAGGGCGTCCTGTTGGGATGGCTTCTTACCCCGGGCTCTGGAAGTGTGCCTGAGACGGGTTTCTGTGTTGTCTGTCACTGAAGTTTAAACTGTCACTGAAGTTTAAAGCCGGCTCACAGGCTCCGTACAATTGCTTGCAGCAAATGATTATCGCAAAGCTTTGCAAGGTATTTTTCTGAATCACTTAAAAATTATGCTGTAGATTTAGTTTCTTAGAAATTAATGCAGTAACAGTGTGTAACTGAATATACTTCGGACATAGAAAATCGCCTAGGGCATTTTGTGTATAATTACTTTGAAACTTTCCTTAACCTGCACAGCCTCCGCCTGCCCCACCCCCAGCTGGTGGCAAGTGATGGTGCCCCCTCCCCGTGCCACTCTCGGCTCAGGACCAGATTTTGAATACTGGGCTCGTTTATCCTCCTTGTTTCCTCAGCTCAGGTCGACTTTGCCTGTTTGAAGTACTGGCAAGTTTCCTTTCTGGTTCACAGATCATGTTTCCAGTCCCGTGATAGTCACGAATGATACTGTTTAAAAAAAAAATCCCTCTCCTGTTTTCTTACTTCTTTAGCCAGCTGGTGGCCTGGTTGGCATGTGAGCATGCTTCTCCTGGAGACCATTCCCCGGTGATCTCGGGTCTCGGGCTTCACGTTCAAGTGGTTTCTCATCTTCTCTTTTTGCTTAGTGTTTCCACCTGTTTAATAAACTCTTTAGTACCAACGGAATGTATTTTTGCTGTTTGCTTAGAGCTGTTTACTCGCACCTTTTAGCCCATCTTGACATTTTATTGATTAATTATTATCCCTTAATCATGAGCATGTTTCCAACAATTGCCAACATTTGCCTTTTCCCGTGATTCTCTGAGCTGAAGGAGATAGGCCAGTGAAGCACGGTGGGGGGTTAATGATGGACAGTCAGCACTTCCTCATCCCGCCGTATTCTCTGTAGTGTAAGCCCTGCTTACGCTGAGGAAATGGAGGATCTTGTTCTGCTTACACCTTACTCCAGATAGCAGTGCTAAGGTTTCTAGTGGAGGAGAGCTTCTTTGTTTTTCATTTTCCTTTTATTGTCTGTGAGTGGGGTGAGTTGTCCGAGTGGGCTTTGTTTCCCAGAGCGAGAGCATAGTTCTCACTCACAGAACCTTTGGGGAGACAGATAGGCCATCTCAGACCAGAGCTTTGAAAGAGATCCGCTGGCTCCTGGCGTTTCTTGGGGCTCACCCTGCACGACTTGGAAGGGGAACACTGGTTTGGTTGTGTGTGGCCTCGCAGCGGGGCTGGCGGGGCAGGGATGTGGAACTTCACCTGGAGGCCAGCTTCTGGGGGACGATGCCAAAACTGGGTGAAAGCGTCTTTCTTTCCTTGGATTCGGGGAGCGGGGCTGCTCTGAAGGCCTCCCCATCTGCGGCTTCAGCTCTTTTCGGTGTCACTTAGTCTTCACCCACCCCCTTTCTTGTTTTGTTTGGTTCCATGGAACCTGATCCCAAATCTAGTTTGTTCTTTCTTCTGTTGGTGATTTTCAGGTTTATTTTGGCATTAAAATTTTTTTTTTGAATATTTAATATTCACACAGACATCCATGGGTGTATTTGCTGTCTGCGTTTCTGCTTTGGGTTTGATTTTTGTTTGTTTGTTTTCTTATTTGGAATGTGAAAAACTACTCGGGGCCACTATGTTAGATTAGAACCCAGAGCCAAATGTGAAGCATTGATAGGGAGTACTTCATGTCAGTGGGGTGCTGGTGGCTACAGTTTAAATTGGTTCCAAGTGTCTGTGGAAGGAGTGATGTACAGAGCCCTGCTACCTGCTGAGCACCAAACTGACCAGGACATAACAGGTCAGTTGTTAATGCTGTTTTCACAATTAAGTTTAGAACATTATGATATTTGGAGATTTGACACAGATGAAATTGTGGTTTTGCATAAATAGGATGCTGATATACCCAGCTGTGGCATTTAGCACTGAAGCAAAACAGCTTTCCTAATAGTCACAGCTTGTGTCTTAGTCAAAATCATAGCATGGCATTTTTTTCTCTGTTCTCTCTCTGATTTTGGCATATATTTTAAGAATGTACTTAAAAATATGTCAAAAAATTGTATTAGAGTCCTACGTATGTATATTGTGTTTTAATTACGTAACCTTTAATTACGTAAACCTTTATTGCCAGATAAGCTCTGATTCCTAAGCCTGGCATTCAGCATACTGCCTGCGTGACTGCATTCCAGCTGGACACTGTGACATCCCAAGAGTCCTTCACTTCCTAAATGGCTTTAGTTGAAATAGGATTCACATTACATCTAGTACACTCATTTAAATTGTACAAGTTAGTGGTTTAGAGTATATTTGTAAAATTAAAAAAAACGATTTTAAAGGCAGAGTTATGCAGAAAGGGGAACGAGATCTTCCATTACTGGTTCACTTCCTAACTGACTTCCATGGCCAGGTTTGGGCCAAGTAGAAGCCAGGAGCCTGGAACATTCACATCCCACAGGGATGGTAGGAATCCAAATGCGTGGGCTGTTATCTGATGCCTTCCCAGGTACGTTAGTAGGGAGCTGGATCAGAAGTGGAGCAACTGGGAGTTGAACAGGCGTTCCCACGGGATGCTGGCATTGTAGACAGAAGCTTACCGCGCTGAGCCACAGACAGACTCCATAGTCATGAAATTGTAGAACGTTTCTGTAGTCAATTTCAAAAGACTTCTAATTGCCCCCCCCCCCCCCCAAGAACTCCTGTACTGTTAGTAATCCTGCCTCATTTCCCAACCCTCCCATCTTCTGGCAGTTCTCACCTGCTTTCTGGCTTGGTCTTGACTGTGTGTAAGATTCATCCATGCTATAGCCTGGGTCAGTCGTGTTTCCACATGCTGGTAACTGTTGTAACTGTTGGTGCTCACTTTGGCAAGCAGTCTTGCCTGTATTCACTGTCCTGGCAGGATTTACTGCCCCCAAGAACCACATGTAACCCTGTTTCTGTCACCAGGTCCTCTCCAGCTGCTCACCACACATGGATTCTGGGCTGCTCTGAGCTTGCCTGTCACTGTGACTGCGCTGCATAGCTGGTAGTTCATTGTTACTCTAGGCTCAACCCTGTGCTTTTGTGCATATGTTTGCCTGAATAGACTGTAAGAGGTCTTGGAAGATAAGCCATGTGTATATATTTTTAAATATTTTTTTTTAAATGGGAAAGGCAGCTTTACAGGAAGGAGATACAGAGAGGAGGATCTTCTGTCTGCTGGTTCACTCCCCAAGTGGCTGCAACAGCTGGAGCTGAGCCAATCCAAAGCCAGGAACCCGGAGTTTCTTCCAGGTCTCCCATACAGGTGCAGGGTCCCAAGACTTGGGTCGTCCTCAACTGTTTTCCCAGGCCATAAGCAGAGAGCTGGATGGGAAGTGGAGCAATTGGAACACAAACTGGTGCCCATATGGAATCCTGGTGGTTGCAAGCAAAGATTCAGCCATTAGGCTACTGTGCCAGCCCAGATAAGCCATGTTTTATGTTGCTTCTTTTCTTATCTCACTCTTGTTCTTGGCTGGGATGTAAATATATGTCTTGTAATGGAATGCAATGTATGTAAGATGATGAAAATGCTCAATCAAGAACTTTTTTTTTTTTATTGTGGGCAATAGAATCAAGCAGGCTTAGGTTAGATCTCATTCTGCTGTTTGCCATCTATGTGACTGTGAGTGAGTTACTTGTGGTGTTTGCCTTATAAGTTAGGCACCTGCCACATACAAAAATGATACCCCATCAATGCTAGTTCCCTCCCATGTCGCCCCATTTCCAAGCTGCTTAGGTGGCTAAGGTACATCTCAGACTTTTTAAAGAGAAATGGCATTGATTCTGTCTTCCAGGAAATTCATAAGGTAACAGGTCAGGAAATTATCAAGTGAAGATTATGAGAGGTATTCTCTCATTTCATTTGCTGTTAGTGTTTATCAAAAGCTAAAATCTTCATAAATTGTAACTAAGCATTTTATGTTGAGCCTGAGTAAGATCAACCTGTTTTACAGGTTTGCGTTTTCTTACACATGTCCTTGTCTGAAGCAGTATTTGCTGTTGCTCCTGAAGTTCCATGTGGCCTTTACAGTCTCACTTTGTGCTGTGAGTGGTAAAGCAGCTTATATTTTGAAGTATATCTGTAACTGGGATCGTGTGTGTGTGTGTGTGTGTGTGTGTGTGTGTGTGTGTGTGTGTTTTAATTTTAAGGTGTAAGTACTCCCCCTAGTGATATAACAGATTCCTGCAGCCATATCATTGTGCCCACACTGGTGGCAGCTGAGAGCCCTGCCCTGGCATGCCTCTTCTGTGTCAGGACCAGAGGGTAGCAACGAGGCAGTAAGGGAGACTTCCAGAAGTCAGCTTTGCTAACTCAGCTCGCTTTTTGTCTTTTGAAAATACCTATCCCATTAGCTAGTTCAGGAGTGAAGCGCTGTGTGTAAAGCTTATGTATATGTGCTTATATTTTAGACTCATTTTCTTACTAGTTTTGATGCCTTTGGCAATTTTTCTGTTTCAGTGGGTGAATGAGGGGTGTGTATATGGTGTGTTTGTGAGAGACCAAGAGGACACTCACATGTATGTATATGTGTATGTGTGGTCAGTATCGCTTGGC